TCTATCCATTGAACCCGTGACGGGGTATACTGTATAAAAGGATCATCATGATACGAGTAACGTTGTACGTTTTGATAGCAACATCACTTACATTTTTTTATAAGAGCACATTTTATAAGAAGAATGAGATTGTCGAAATTGCGGAAAATTAAGAACAAAATAAGAATAAATTAAGGCTAAGTTAAAATGCCACAAGTGAGTTTTTTATTTTTTTAATTGTAGTAGAAAAACCATTACGACAGGAACGATTATACTTGTCTAAACCGGGGTGTCATTCTAGCATTTTGACTTCATTGCTATACACTGACATACCGGCTGGTAGTTAGGGGAAGATACACCTAGACGAATAATAATAATAATAATAATAATGTGAATGATAATTATTAAATGCGCATCAAACAAAAGTATCTCCAATCAAATTGGTACCAATTGTTAATTAAGCCTATTTAAATTATATATAATAACTCAAGTATTCAAGGTTCAAAAGGTTCAAAAGAACATTTATTTCTCAAAAGTAATAATAATGCAAATAATAAATAACTAGCCAAGTTTGAGGGGCGAAACCCAGAAAGCGGAGCCGCTGTGTAGGGCTGCCCTGAAATAAACACACAGAAAAACCAAAGCCAAAACAGGACAGGACAGGACAACAGGAGACAAGACAGACAAAGCAGACAACACAAGGATGCTCAGAAATGCATTTTTTTTTCTTGTATAATATTGATACAAAAACAAAATGTAACGAATTGGTAATGGAGATCGAGAATGGGTAAAAGAAGAAAATTATGCATAACTTGATAAGAGATGTTTTTCAGCCTTGAACAGAAGTTTTTTTTTAGAGTAGGAAGTATACATGGAGTGAGGGAGATTGTTCCATAGCTTAGGACCAGTATATTGAATATTGTGCTGGAAAGAAGTGGTTCTATGAAAGGGAATATGAAGATGATTTGAAGAGCGGGTAAAATGACTATGATAATCAAAATTAAAATTAAGTAATGATTTAAATTGAGGGGGGAGAGAGAAATTTACCCATGAAAAAATAAAAGCGCAAACAAATGTTCAAAGCATTGCCTTAGTTTCCATGAACTTGCCAACTTCATTACCTCTGCTTGTTTTCCTTTGAATATTTACTTTTATACATAGTACCGTCAACTTCTACAGCACCTTCAAACATAAATCACAAACTACTGCATATATCATGCCCTCATCTTGGGTTAGCATCCTTTACGGGCTCTTAAGCTTATAAACTCCACATCTCGGGTGGCACTACAAATAAATGAAATCCAGAACTACAATAATATAAATTCATTCACAATACCAATTAAATCAGGGAACAGTGAATTTCACTGTTCCCTGAATTAAATATACATTTAAT